TTTTTTTTTTTTTGTTTTTTCTTTAAATTGCTTTTGATTGGAAATTATTTCAGTCATCAACAGAATTAATTTCTAGTGTTAACAATTGTTCAAATTGTCGGTATTTTTTTCGATTTTAAAATTCAATGTAAAGACACTTTGTGGATTTCTATATTTAATGTAATAAGAAAGTAATACTTAAATGATTTTAAAAATGTTGAGATACATTGTAACTCATTATGTTAATGATAAATCAATATCATCTCATATGGTAAGTAGATAGATAAGGCTCGATAGATCAATATTTTATTATCTTAAACTTTAATAGTGTAGTAAAGAACATGTATGTACATAGTATTTATGCATATTCATAACCGTAAATTTAGTTTTTCTAACTTTCTTTTTCCCTCTAATTCATCGAAGTAATTCATAAATAATGTATAAAATAACATAATAATACAACCACGTACAAAATGAAAATTCATTGGAAATTTTATTTCTTATTCATCGAAATAATTTATAAATTAATGTGTAAAATAATGTAATAATAAATCATGTGCAGAATGAAAATTTCTTTAACACTTCAAAACATTTATTTTTATTAATTTATTAAATTAAATTATATTATTAATAATATATATATTAAATTATATTGGGCTCAATTTTATCTGAGAAACAAAATGTTGAAGTTTTACATTCACGAAAACATAAGTTATAATTTATGTAATTTAATTGGGTAATAATTGATATAAAGTTTATTATTCTATTTTTACACAAAAATTTTCTCGTGTTTCGATCAACATTTTTATAATTTGAAAATACTTTATCTATTTAATTTTTGAAAAAAAGCATACCTTCTATTTTTATCTATTTTTTACAGGATTATCACGTTTATGTGCAGAAAGAAAGAAATTACATAAATATACATCATCCATATCTAAGCAAAGCGATACGAATTAGTTCATATTTAAGATAAAACTTATCGAATACTGAGATATCACTTGAAGTTCTTTCGGTTAAATCAGTATGTATTTTTATACTGCGCACTAAATATACGGAAATATTATTGAAGTATTATTAAAGACTTATATTTGTCAATTATTTATACTTTCAAGATATCAGTTGTATGTCATTTATTGTTTAATTCAATTTATAATATATTGAGTATAATAAAAGATTAACTTGAGATAAATGATTGTGTGAAACAGTAAAAAAAAAATCAATGTTTAAAATTAATTCTCTCCTGTTTCTGACGCATTAATATGTCCGTGATAAATTGTCAATGATTTTTGTCACAATATTTAATAAGATTCTAAGATCTTTCTGTCAATTGAAAATGATATAATTGCAATTAAACTAATAATAATAAATTGCACAACATACTACTACCATTTCTTGAAATTTTTGGCAACTACTGAGCTAGATAAAAAAAAAAAAGGTCGAGATCTCTAAATTTGGGGAAAATTTTTCAATATTAATATTCAATACTGCATAAAGAAAGAAACGTAGAGAAGATCGGCATTCCTAAACGTGATCTTTCGAACGTGAAAGTAGATCTTTTTCGAACGATTGATATTCAAAAATATTTAACCTTGTGTTGTAAAAATATCTGAAAGTGTAATTAAAAAACAACTACATCTGTCTGCAGCGTTGAAAAAGATGCTAACACCGGGACGATCGGAACCAATTAGTCCCGATGAGATCGGCAATGGACCTGATACGAAGGATCCTGGTGCAACAGAGAATGTCTCGGGGACGTACGTGCGTGGTGCACGGGCCTCAGGTTCGTACGAGGGCGACGACAGGGCGAAAGAGTTCCTTTCGACCGGCAGAACCGGAAGAAGGAACGCTCTGACGCAGATCTTGGGCTGCCATGCTAAAACTGGAATGCTGGATTTGCCGGATCGTTTCGAAAAGCTTTCGATGGAGACAGGTTAGCCATATGAATATTAATTACTTAGGTATTACCCTATTTCGTAGTAGTAAATACGTACGTGTACACATTTCAATTTTACAAAAGTCGCATTTCTTTCACAACAAATGTTGCAGGTAATATTCAAATAAATCTGGTATTAGTTTATTGGTTATTAATCAATTGCTTTACGATTTTATTAATATA